TCTGGGGTTAATAAGCATGCCAAATTCGATGGTTTCATGAAAAAAAATTCCCAGCAATGTGTTTCTGCTAGGAGTTATGATTTTTTCTAATGAAAATTGAATTAAGGGTAGTCGGGGGTGTATTCAATTAATTGACAGAAAAAATATTCCTAGCAACGAATTTCCTTTTGGAATTATTTTTCTGCTTCTATTATTATCAGTTGTTTGTACAATTTCAATAAAATGCGGTTCATTTCATAAAAAAAAAAAGATTTTCATCATCATTTGAATCATTTCCAATCACATCAGTTCGTTTCCAGCAATGAGTCTATCAATGTAAAAATTTTCATGGCTAGCCATGTGAATAATTGCGGTGAAACGACCTATGGCGGAATAGCGCGCTCGCCTCTCTTTCACCAAACACATGGACGAAAACACATGGCCACCTTCACACTGGTGCAACAGCTGGTTTATTTATTTATTTATGGCATTGCCTACTTTTCTACAAAATAATTAACAAAATCACACATAATATGTACTGTAACAATTACCTATAACTATCAGCTAATTGCATTTAATAATTTGCCAAGTCATATAAAAAGCTGTGATTCATTAAATTCATTAAAAAGAAAATGTAGTGAATATATTTCAAGTAATTGTCATCAATAATTCGTCTTGTTTTCTAGTTTCTTGTTTTTAAAATGTGACTTGTCTCTAATTTTATATATATTTTTTATTGTTTTGTATTTTATAAGTGGCTGACTGTACTATGAAGAGCATTATTTGCTAATAAATGATATTATAGAAAAATGCACTGAACCAACAGATTGGGTCAACTCCATGGTAATAGTTCAAAAACCTAATAAAGAACTAAGAATATGCATTGATCCCAAGCATTTAAACGTTGCCATCAAAAGGGAACATTTCCACATTCCAACTCTAGATGAGATAACCTATAAGTTGAGGGGGGCCAAATATTTTAGTGTTTTGGACTGTAGTAATGGTTTTCACCAGATAAGATTAGATCATGAAAGCTCTAGAATATGCACTTTCAACACACCATTTGGAAGATATTCTTACAAGCGTCTCCCATATGGTTTATGTTCGGCATCAGAAGTTTTTCAAAAAATCTTAAGGCAGTATTTTGATTCTATTGACGGAGTTGACACATACATAGATGATATATTGATTTGGGGAAATAGTTTAGAAATTCATAATCAAAGATTAGAAAATATTTTAAAAATTTGTAGAAAAAACAATATAAAATTGAACAAAAACAAATGTAAAATAGCTACAAACGAAATAAAATACATGGGACATATTTTGTCAGAAGAAGGGATTAAGCCAGATGTCGATAAAATAAAGGCCATTCAATATTATAAAACACCAGAAAACAAAAAAGATTTAGAAATATTCTTAGGAATGATAACGTATTTGGGTAAATTTATCTCTAACTTATCAAAAATAACAGAGCCTTTGAGATGTTTATTGAAAAAAGATGTATGTTTTCAATGGAATTTCGAACAACAGCATTCATTTGACACTTTGAAAAAATATTTAAAGAACCCTCCCCTTCTCTCATATTATTCAGTAACTGAACCCATCACTATATGTTGCGATGCCTCTTCAAAGGGGCTGGGTGCGGTCTTGAAACAAAATGGAAGGCCTGTGGCTTATTCATCCAGATCATTGACAGAGTCGCAAATTTCCTGGGCACAAATCGAAAAGGAAATGCTAGCCATATATTTTGCATGCACCAAGTTTCATCAGTATATTTTTGGGCGAGACGATGTTACTGTTAAATCAGATCATAAGCCATTAATCCCACTTTTTTCTAAAAGTATCTTTAAGGCTCCGTCCAGAATTCAAAGTCTTTTATTAAAATTGTCAAAATACAATATCAAAGTTGTTTATGAACCAGGTAAAAATCTCAAAATAGCAGATGCTCTTTCCCGTGCCTATGTTATTGAAAATGACAATTTTTTGAATGATCTAGATCAGCAGATATGTTTTATAGAACGGAACCTTCCTGTAACTGATAAAAAAATTGAGTTAATAAAAAAATGTATAAATGAAGATTCTCATTTACAACTTCTGATAAAAATAATTAAAAATGGCTTCCCAAATGATAAAAATAATTTAGAAAACTCACTCAAGTCATATTGGCCTTTTAGAGATGAACTTAGTTACATAAACGGTTTGATTTTCAAGTGTGACAGAATACTTATTCCTGAATCTCTTAGGAAAGATACTTTGAATAGATTACATTTGGGGCATATAGGTAAAGAAAAAATGAAAATGAGGGCTCGTGAATTGATATTTTGGCCTGGTTTAACAGCTCAAATTAATGATATTTGTGATAATTGTGAAGCATGTAACATCTTCAGAAAAACAAATAGCAGAGAACCCCTAAATAATCATAACATACCTTCCACGCCATGGAACAAGTTAGGAGTAGACATTTTTCTTTTCAATGAGAGTAACTATTTGATTGTTATTGATTACTACTCGAAGTATATTGAAATTGCTTGTTGTAAAAAAAATATCACTAGTCAAAATGTCATCAAACATTTAAAAGAGATATTTTCGAGGCAAGGAATTCCAACTGAATTGTATTCTGATAATGGTCCATGCTTCACATCGCAAGAATTCAAAAATTTTTCAACAGATTGGAATTTCCAACACAATTTTTCAAGTCCTCATCACCAACAATCAAATGGCCTCGTGGAACGAGCCATCAGCTCCGTTAAAAATATATTAAAGAAATGTTTATATGACAATACCGATATCTATTTGGCACTTTTGGAGTTACGTAATACTCCATTACATAATGAGATTGGAAGTCCTTCTCAACTTCTCAATAGTAGGAGAATGCGGGGAGCTCTACCTGTCTTCGAAAATAAATTAAAGCCTAAAATACAAAATAAGGAAAAAATAAAAAACTACTTCACACATAAAAATGAATGTACAAAATTTTATTTCGACAAAAAATCTAGACATCTTCCACAACTCAGTATTAATCAGCACATTTACATTCAAAATATTAAAGATAAAAAATGGACTCCAGGTATCGTAATGAAAATATATAACGACAGGTCTTATCTAGTAAAAATCTTGAATACAAACACAATTGTGAGGAGAAATAGAATTTACTTAAGAGCTGCGAAGAAAAAATTCAACAACAATGTTTCTAAAATGAAATATGATTATGAGGATTTATTTACAAAAAATCATGATAATGAACCAGTAACACACACTGAAAACACCACCACTCGATATGGAAGAAAAATTAAAAGACCAGATTATCTAAATATAAATAGTCAAACTGTAAAGACTTATAGTTGAGCATCATGTAATGAGTGATAGATAGATAAATGATTTTAATCTCGATTATATAGTCTTAAGTGAAAGAACAATATATACATTAGTGTCAATGTTATATTTATAGTTATAATATAGTTCGATTCCTTTGTTGTTTCAAATCTAAATTGTATATATAAAATTTGGCATGAACATTCATGTGAAAACTCTTGTACGTATGAAATTGCAGAATATTATTTGTTCTTAAAATTGTAAAAAATAGGAGATGTCATGAGTAATGCGCAAGCGCATCTCATTACAGTATTGGAAAGAACGCAATAAACCAGTCTATGCCAAGTGTCGTTTCAATATAGTTGTCCCCACTACAACAATAAAGAGTAATAATAAATATGAAAAAAAGAATGTAAAAATAAGTCAATCAATTCCAAAGAAGAATTAAAAAGTTTTAAATCTATATTGTATGTGTTTGCAAGTCTCAAAATTCTACCTATAGGCATATTCTGGCCAAAGTTGGTATGATAAAAGAGTACATAGAAGATTTCTGTATTTCTTTTTATCTCAGAATTCACATTTAAAGTTATATAAGTTCAACAAGTCCTGGGGATTTGATGCTACCATTGATTATTTTGTGAATCGTTTTGAGATCCAATTCTAATCGAAAAACATATTAAACAGACTAAACGGAGATTAATAGTTTTGTTTTTCGAAAAACAGGGCGTTTAAGTTTTAGTGAGGGTTACCTGATTTATGTTTATGGTGAATGTCATTGTGTACCACAAGTTTTTTCCAAGTTGGACATCTTTAAATTGAACAATTGTAATCACAACTCTCTGGTCTAGAGAGTTTTTGTTGCTTTGTGCCTAGTTTTAGCGGAAAACAATAAAAAGTTATTATCTACACGTCCGTCAGTCATGAAACAATTATCTAAAAATGCCCCATTTTTTTCTTAAATTTTACTGTAATTACATGTAAGCTGAAAGTGAAGCTGAAGAAAATCACCATTCCTATGTCAGTTCTCTTAGAACTTTTAATTTTATACAAAAAATACATCACAATTTGTTGTGATAAGACTGATTGTTTGTCAGTTAACTGGATAAATGAGAATTAACAGAAATATCTCTTAATTGTCGAAATGACAGTCATAAAATTTTATCTGTGCTACTGTTGGTGGTGAGAACTTCCAATAGTAATTGTATCTAAAAGATTTTTGTTTGTGGAATGGAAAAGTAGCAGCAATCACTGAATTGCGATTGCCAAAGCAAGGCGTTTCTAAATCTTTGTTTTATGGCTCACCGGCATGCAGATAATAGTGCAGTCAAGATCTTTTGCCTAACAAATAATTGTTTCAAGGATCTCTGGGTTTTTGCCCCACATACATATCATACAGCTTTCTTTTGGAGAATAAATACAGAGTTTAGGGAATTTTTGATCTTTTTTCCTAGTAACGATTCTATGTCTCAGTTTGGATTCTATAAATACAAAATATACTTGCCTAGATACAGATGCATTCAGGTCATTTGAAATTAACCGAGTCGTGAAGCTCCCTGAGCATAAATTGGATGTATGGATATCAAATTGTCATCCAAATGTCGTCCCAAAAATTTAAATCTGGACTATGACTCAATTCTTCAAATTCCCAAAGAAAATTTCATGTAGTGCACATGCAGAGGAGATGATACTTATTTTTGCAGTATTTATAAATAATCTGTTTGCACCACACAAATTTTTGACTTTAGTCAAGTCCTCCGTTGCTGCTAAGTTCATTTTCATTCTTGAAATGCCAAAGTATTGTGGTATCATCTGCAAACATAGTGAATTTACTATTGATGTTAATGGTTGATAGATCATTCACGTATATCAAGAACAGGAAAGGACGAAGCCCTGAACGCTGAGGGTCACTACAGGTCTACTGTCTGAGCCACAGAAATCTTATTGTTTACTGAGACCATTTTGGTGTGTTCTGTTAACACACCATCTTCAGGCAACATAGCTAAAATCATAAATTTTCTATTTGTGCAACAATATCTTGTGATACACACAGTATCACACACAGTATTATTTAAAACTAGTTTTTACACCAGTTTTCCCATTACCGATAGAAGAGAGATGGGTATAAGATTTGAAACTAAATCGCAATCTCCCTCTTTATTGCAATCTTGATAAATTTCAGAAATATTCCACCCATGAATGAGATCTTAATTTTCTCCCCTAAGATCGCCAGCGCCTTCTCTGATGTTGCAGAACCTTGCAGGAAATCACAACCTAACCTGATGTCGTTTTATTCGTAATATTTTATAAAGTGTCGATAACTTTCTTTACAGAAATGAGCTGTTCGGTATGTGTGCGGGGCAAAGTTCCAATAACACTGCAAACCATTATTCATTGAACAACGACAGTCATCTCTGTATTCATATTTGAAACAGTAAATCTGATTCATAAAAATATATCTATTATGCTCTTGATGATACATATGATCCACACTACAATACACTCCAAGCGAATCTATATAATGGAAAAAAGATCAATAAAATTTCCATGCACCTAAAAGTTATTCTTTGAATATTTTCAGGAAAATAATAAGCGATATTTCAATTGATAAAGCCTATTATAATTTGGATGAATTTTACAATGACCACTCTTTTTATGAATTATAAGATTTACTATAGTATCTCGCTATAATATAGCATATATTTTTAAGAAAAATTTCAATTTGTATGGCATTTATTTGCTCTGTAAAATTGTGTTTGATATTTTATTTCACATAGATAAACTACTTAGTTTTGATGACCTTGTTAATCTTGAGGTTTTCCGTGTACATAGCACATATTTAGATACTACATTGCCAAGGACTTTTATTTAGAACATATTAAAGGAGAAAGTAATACAAATCATGAAATTATAAAACAACAACAAAAATTAATTGACGCTCCGGGGAGACTTATTGATTCTAGTGGCGCGCTTTTTCAGCTGCTTTTTCAGCTGCAGCACCACATCATCTGAAGATCTTGATCTGCCAATGTCCTCTCTTTCGTAAAACAAAAAATGTAGGGTGTCTCCAAGGTAATTCAAATTTACACCATTTATAGTAGTAAAGACATTTGACAGAGTCAATCACAGAGCCTTGATTAAAAAGCTACATTATTACTCTTTCACCACGATAGCGCATCATTTATCGAGTGCTAACTTTATATCCAAGAACACTTTGTTGGATTAAATAAGAGTGAATCAAATATCTTTATTCCAACTTCAAGAGTTCCGCAGGGCTCAATTTTCAGACCTCTTCTATTTGTCATGTTCCTCAATGACATATGTAAGTTTATGAAACATTCAAAATTCGTTTTATACGTTGACGACTTGAAAATATTCCTGTTTGCAAAAGCATTCATGGACACTGAACTTTTGTAACATGATGTCAGTTCAATTTCCATTTTCTATAAGGAGAATGACTTAGCACTGAATATCTCTAAATGCAAAGTAATGTCTTTTTCTAGAAGGAAACATCCCATAATCCAAACATACTGTATTTATAATGTTTCAATAAAATAAATCAATGAAATTAATGATTAAGGTGTCATTTTCACTTCTGATTTCAAATTCAACACCCACATCGAAAAATTACAAGCAAAATGCTGCAGAATACTTTGTTTCATACTTAGAGCTTGCTATGAATTCAACTACAAGACATGTATGGTGCTATTTAATTTGAACCTTTGCTCTAAACTTGAACTTTGTTTCATACTTAGAACTTGCTATGAATTCAACTGCAACACATGTGAGGTGCTATTTAATTCGTACCTTTGCTCTAAGCTTAAATATTCTTTTGTTATATAATCTCCTGCAGGGTTATCTCCTGTTGACATGTTAGAAAAAGTACACAAACGTATTATCAATTTTCAAGATCTAAAAAAATATATATCCACGTCTACTCTCTTTTAAAAAACAACTGTGAACAACTGGTCTCGAAATGAGATATGTGCTGTGTGTTCTTTGAAACGAATTTCAATAGTTCACTTTGTCTGACCCAGTTCTTGAAAACACGTCTAACCCTTAGCGACTGCTACAAACAAAATAAAAAATTAATACAGATGAAAATTTTATCATACTTGAGGAGCTTGTATACCAACATAATAGAAAAAAATTGACAATCAAACTCTCCAAACTCATAAAATTCAATATTCCTGAACATACCTGGGCCACAGGAGTAGTTAGATTTGTATTGGTAATTTTATTATAAATCATCTGAAGTTTGGATATTGCATGGAATTATTACTCATTTTTTAGTTTCTTCTTTTTTGAAAGTCCAGGCGATTAATCCAATTTAAAGTCAAACGATTTTTTTAACATCAATCATATTTATGTTTTCAGGGATATGTTCTGCGCTGGCCGAGTACAAGAAGATGATCTGAAGCGAACCCTCAAGGCTTGTGGTGGAGCTGTTATGACAACTGTTAATGACCTCAATAACTCAGTTCTTGGCAAATGTGATTTGTTTGAAGAGAAACAGATAGGCGGTGAGAGATACAATTTCTTCAAAGGCTGTCCGAATGCCAAGACTTGCACTTTAATCCTCCGAGGCGGTGCGGAACAATTTCTAGAGGAGACTGAGAGATCTCTTCACGACGCCATCATGATTGTAAGGAGAACAATCAAAAATGATGCAGTGGTAGCTGGAGGAGGAGCCATTGAGATGGAATTGTCCAAAATCCTGAGGGATCATTCCCGTACAATAGCCGGTAAAGAGCAGCTGTTGATTGGGGCCATCGCTAAAGCGCTGGAGGTGATTCCTAGACAACTGTGCGACAATGCCGGGTTTGATGCCACTAATATCTTGAACAAGCTGAGGCAGAAGCATGCACAGGGTGGTTGCTGGTTTGGGGTAGATGTTAATAACGAAGATATTGCTGATAACTTTAAAAACTGCATTTGGGAGCCGGCAGTTATCAAAATCAATGCTCTTACAGCCGCTTCGGAAGCCACCTGTTTGATACTGTCTGTGGACGAGACAATTAAAAATCAAAAGTCAGGAGACGGGCAGATGCCACAGATGGGAGGACGTGGTATGGGAAGGCCAATGTAATTTGTCACATACTGTTTTTATTTAATGGAATTATTTCTCAACGCTTTTCTCACTTACTTATTTTTCGATTAAGTATGTCACTCATCTTATTTTTTTCATCAGCTTTTAACAATAATAAACTCGTTTCTTAACTTGCTACTTTTGTGATTTTTTCAGCTTTTTGTTCCTTCAACCATACTTGATGGACAAATAAAAATATCAATCTAGTTTGGGTTTTTGAGAAATATGTTGAATAATATGCTTGTTGTTTGTTGTTGATTCATTCCAACTTCTAACTTTGTGGCAGCAATAGTAGATAAATAGTAAGCTTTTTCCTTGTTAGGGCCCAGAAAAAAAATTTCCAGAGGAAAAATTGTATAACAATATATTAAGTGAATTATATTTCAGTCTATACTATAACAATTTTCAATTGAAGGTGATTCATTACCAACGTCGCACTTGAAGTGACCAATGGATAATCCTCTTACCAACGCTGCAGAGGCGTACCAAAATGATATTTTTATTTATTTAAACACATAGGTAATTACGTAAAAATTGCTATAGTAGGTGGCGCTACCTGGTGTCAATGGTAAAACTGATTACATTTCTTATTATGCCTAATACAGTACTTCAAAAAAACAGAAAAATTTACAAAATAATTATTATGTTCCTTTTATATAGAAAGAGAACTACAAAGCAAAGAAATAATTACCTATATTATGCTTATGAAATTTCAGAATCCATTGACTCGTCCGAAGAGGAATCCCCAGTCACAATCAAATCTATTATTACTTGGTCGAAAACAGTGTCTACCATCCCGTCCAATCTCCACATTTTCTCTTCTTCCTTGATCACATGGCTACAGCATTAGCCCAATCTTTTTTCCGTATCCGTTCCATTGCGAGTTTTAATAAACGTTGGACATCAGAAATTTTATATGTCACATTTTCACGAGCTACGTTACCCTTAATTTGAGCCCAGACTAATTTTATCGGGTTTAACTCGCAATGGTAAGAAGGAAGTCTCAAAATGGTGATGCCTTCAGTACGAGCTATTGTATCCACTACACGCTGGCGATATCTGTCATGATGCTGTTTAATGACACTCATAAACTCGGCCTTAACCATGTCCTCGGAAAATGGAATTCCTTTTTGTCCTAACCAACTCTGCATGTCTGCTTTTCTGGTGGTCATAGTTGGCAGCTGTTCTACTAATCGGGTGTGATAAGAAGCGTTATCCATTACTATTACCGAATTTGGCTCAACTCGTGAAAGAAGGGATTCAAACCATCCTTCAGAGCGTTGGGCGTCCATGTATTTGTGATAATCCCCCGTTTTTTTGATAAAAAAATTAGTGCACTATCGTCTAAAAAGCCACTCTTGCTACCTATATGGGCGACAATTAGTCGTTGCCCTTTACCCGTTGGTCCGCGTAACCCTGTTGATAAACCGTCCACAAATGCTTGACGATAACTAGTTACAGTAGTATCTTGCCAGATCTTAGATACTGTGTGACCAGCCTTCACCCACTTTTCATCCAGATAATAAATCTTTTTGTGAGCGGAACGCATTTCTCTAATATAGCGAAGATATCTTCGTCGCCATGAGACTATATCTTCTCTTTCTATCAAGACCAACTTACGGGATCGTTTGGCATATATAAATTTTTAATCTTCTTTTATTATTTTCCTTAACTTCTCTTTGCTCATTTTTTGGAATGAGATCATTATCCATTACCTTTGTCCTAATCGATTCGAGAAAGAATGAATGGTATAGCATAGAAAATTTTTCTGGTACTCGTCCAATTCAATTTTTTTTTCTACTACGACAATGTACTTTTGGAGCTTGCACAATCCCAGTAACCTTTTTTTCACGTACAATGCGTTCAATTGTCGACATGGATATTCCCGTTAAAAATGAACACTGGGCTACAGCTTCAACTGTATGGAGTGTATTTTTTAAATTTTCGTACACTCTACAGACAATCTGTTTTTCTTCAAACGACATAAACTTCCGCTTTCTTTGTACATTACTTGGACCTGCTACGGCATCCGTCTTAATACTATAAAAATAATAAAATTCAATCATATTATTCAGCTATTTGTCAGTTGTTTACTTACCTCAAAAACTATTTTAAAGTTGATGTATTTTGAAAAACACTTTATTTTGAGATTTTCACTAGAACAGATTAACAAATCCGCAACACGTGTTTCGCTGCACAGTAGCTTTTTCAAGCGTGTTCACTAACAAACTGAATTCTACATATATTGTGATCTACCTAGAAACTAATAATATTCTAGGAACTAATTAATGACAGTTATACCTGAGTTTAATGACTAGGTCAACTAATTATCTCGCAATAAAGTGTGAATATGATGAAAATCTATGATAATGTATTTTGAAAAACAAGTATCGGCCAACTCTATCTTATATTTTGAAGTTGATAAATATAACAGTCTATTTAATAAATATAATAAAATATATTTAATAAGTCACCTTCACAAGAAACAACACACTACGCCTATGCAGATAAAGACGCTTGATAATGAATAAACCGAATGACTAGTTATGGCATTTTAAGGACGCAAATATAATAGACTTGCGAATGTTTACCGATGTTTCAAAGTATTTAACGAACTGGTTCATCTATTCGCTTGTACATCCTATCGATATGCAGAAGCTATCTTGTTACGGGGGTCAAATTTTATAGAATCATCTTACTTTTCAATTATTTACAATGGCGATGCATAGACAACAAAAATGACCCCGGTAAGAATTTAGTTTTAACATTGTTGCCGTTAGCTCTCAGTTCAATTTGTATATGAGTTACCTTCAATTGAAAATTGTTATACTGTATAAAGAGTATATGATTAGGTATCCTCGTACCATTCGTCAATTGTTACAAAGATTTTTCTCAAGTCAGTTCACAAATACTCCAAGGAGTGAAATAATAATAATACAAGTTGAACTGCCAGGTATGTTTCTCATTTACGAAGCCTCAAAGGAATATTTATCAGAAATGAGTATCTGGATAATATTAAGTTTTCTTCAACTTGTCTGAATAAATATAGCAGGAGAAGTGTAGTACAGAACTCCGTTCTTGAATTACAACTGTTAAATCTTGGTCAGAACATATATCAAGAAGTTAAAACGCTGGATAATTCTTTTAGAAACATTGAAAACTATTGAACTTCGCAAATCTTGATCTACAGATAATTTATAATATAACTAAAATTTCAAGTGCAGCTCTCAGAGTTGAGAAAACAAAGCCTATGTTGTATTAAAAGTCCTGCTTATGAAAATTTTCATGGGATGAAATGTTTATCCGACAGACATTTGTGATAGTTTCCTTACAGAGTTAATTTTTGCAGATGCTTCTCGATTGTCCCTCAGCAGTACCACCTATAGACCTTTTTCAGAGTTTGATAGGTAGAATTGGGATTTCTGACTTGAAATTAATTTATTGAAAACACTTTTTCCACATCAGAACAAATACTGTATCTCATCCTGCGTAATGCTAAACAAGTGAGCATCATTAGGAAAGATCTTAAAATATCAGTCATCTCCTGTTAATGATAACTTGGTTTGCGAAACTCGCATCAAGAAACAGTATCTTCGTTTTGGTGTGGGAAAAGTTTTTTCAATAGATTCTGTTTCATAATATTACTGCTTGTCAAAACAGATCTAACCAAGACAACAGTGCTGTCTGGTTATCTACTTATTCAATTGACGGTCCACTGTTCTGTCTGAGACGGTTCCACAAGTGGCGAAGAAACATCTCTTATATCACAACTCTAAGAGAAATCAAATAGTCTGTTGATTGTGTAGAGGCAAGATGCAGTTTATAGTTCATAATAATATTCCAGATAGATTTTGAAACTGATTATCTACACAATTTCAAGAATTATTATTTGCGAATGAATCTTCATGGTCTTCCAATGTTTCAGTTGTTTATTTCAATTGAATTTTATCATGGTTTTCAGGATGATAGATTTGTTTGTTGATACATATAAAAATTCACATTCTTAAAAGTTTAGTAATATAACTTATATAACTTTTATTGTTTGCATTTGTACCATGTACCATGAAACAGTGTTTCATGGTACAAATGCATTATTTTCTTTCTCAGTGCTTTCCTAGCAAACACGTAACATCGCTTGGAGGTTTTGCGAGATCATATACTACAGAGGAAAAATTTGCAAAATATTTTCCCATATCAATTCAAAATGTAATCACCGCGAACCATCTCTTAATGTGTGTTCAGGTTTGATGCCTGTAAGTTCCTGAAAAAAAATGTATGAAAAAGCCTGGTAAGAACAATTCTGGAATCATGTAAATACGTGAATCAACTTAGCGCCAATTTTTCCATGAACTAGGCACGATCCTGTTCGCGACACATTTCAACAATGTGGGCTTCGATATCAATAGAGCAAGGTTGGTTTTTAACAAATTCGGCAGTGTCAGTGATAACTCGATGGTCACCACAAACGTTGGGCTTCACTCGGTGGTCACTGGCGAAGTATTCCCCAAACTACTGGAGCTTTTGGTGGTATATCACCGCGTGCACCTGATCCTTCTCTATGGTTGGGATGGCCTTCTACCGATTGTCCAGTCTTTAGGCCATTCTCCACACAAAGTGATCAAGCCTGAGTATTTCGAGCTTGTCCTTCCGCTTTTTGTTGGTGAACTCACTAATACGCTTGCTGAGCTCCGCAACAAGTCTCGGCATACGATCTTTACTACAGGGGTCACGTGTTCATTACCAATGTTTGCGTATTCGGTGTTTTTGCTTAACGAGTTCAACATCAAGCAAAAGATGTTTTGATCGCCTTTCACAACCATCTTCCTCGTAGACACGTCTATAGAGTGTTGGATGTTTCGGACAAATTGACCACATATTTCGTCAATATTGTTTTTATTGTGGTAAATCGGTTCATGGACGCCCTGAATTCTGCCCAGTCCGTGCTCTTATAGTTGTACTTGACCTTTTTGTTTTTAAGAAGTATAATCTTTTCAGATTAAATAGCACCGGACAATGGTCAGAGCTCAGCTCGTCCATGGTGGTCAATTCGCCTAAATCTTTGACGTGTTTATTCAGTACGAGGTCGATCGTGGCGAGCATCAAATCATTCCAAGGATAGTGAGTCGGCTCCTCAGAAAAGTCTATTTTAATGTTGTTCATGGACTACTCCAACAGCGTCCTCCCGTTCGCGTTCTGCTGATTGTGACAGTTCCACTCCAGCCTTTTCTTATCAAGATAGCCACCCCACCGCTTTTCACGGCTTCAGTTTATGTTCCTGCCAAAGCTTGGTTTCGGAGAGAAACATATCAAACTCATGGGCATAAATTAGGTTAACAGCCCTGGGGTATTTGTTAACTCCATTCACATTCAGTATGCACCCCTTAATAGGCATTACAAGTTGTAATCATTAAAACAACCATGAGCTTACACAGATCATTTATTGCCCGGATGATCTCGGCCAGGTTAACCATTTCGCTGAGCCTCCGGAAGCAATTAGTTGCTTCCATGAGCTGCTGCTGAGCCCCTATCGTGAGCCCTCTCACTGTACCAGTGGTGGGGAAGGAAGCGGTGGTTATCCCGGAGTCGGCTGAATTTTGTTCCTACTATCCTTTACCCAGGAATTGGTCTTGGCAGTGGTACAGGTACCAGTTTAGGGGCTGGTGCAGAGACCTGCTTAGGCGCTGGTTGCCGCAGTTAGCACATTTAGACCTGGAATCTGTGACACTGCATCAGTTTCCTGCTATTTGTCCAAAGCTTCTATGTGACCCTGGGACATTTCGTTTTGAGACATCCTTCGTTCGTTACGACCATGTATAGGGGACGTTTATCCGTCCTCAGCCTATACACAGCCGAAAGGTTCATTTTTCATTCCCTCCGGAGTTCCTCCTCAACTTACTCAGTCTCTGGGGCAAATTCCAGCCCATGGAGGACAAACGCATGAGTTTTATGCTCCGGGAGGATGTAAGTATGGAATTATTTCTTTAAGCTTTGCATAAATCTTTTACTCATCAGGATTGTTGTATGTACCACGATTGGGGAAAGACTTCTGGTTTTCGTCCTATTAGGCTTTCCAATGTTCGCCGCTGAAGGTAGTAGTGGATCAGTCTCTATATCGGTGTAACTCAAGAAATCATACAAATAGTTTGATTCATCACTAAAATTTTCACAATTACAAAATTAAATACATGAGAAAACTTATTGGACTAGTCAAAAAAGCTAAACACAAATGTTTGATCGTGAACAAATTTAAAAAAGAGTAACATGTATAAAAGAAACTATGTCATTCCTCTAAGCACTGAAAGCAAGAAATTCATCCATACTATATTAGCAGTTATCCAACAAAAAACCATATAGTTCATTCCCTATAAAAGTTGTTATTTTATTGAAGCATTTAATACCCAAGTATTTTGGGTAATTCTGACTCACATTCAAGCGAGAGTAGTGGTGGTATAAAGTATCTTCACCCCGAGTAGCGTAATTATGTAGGTATGTATATCAGAGTTTTTTTGGATATAGGTGTTTATTATCATAGCAGTATTATGTGTAGGCACGGCAATGGTACGATGCTAAATTTTTTATCTAGTGGTTTACAAGAGTCCAGTGGACGAGACTTGTCCATACAGCGAATTACTCTTTTCTAAACCTTAAGAATGTGGTCAGTATATGCAGAGTTACCCCAGAAGATCAACCCATACTGTAGCCTTGATTGTACCAATCCATGATTCATGAGTTTTTTAACTTCTGTAGATCAGAGTAACAAAAGACAATAGAGAGGCCTTTTCCATCCTTACATTGAAGGCAGCATAACTTTGTTTACGGGAAGTAAGTTGGAGCATGAAACAGTGGCGGTTGGTTTAGTTGATAATCGAAGAGATATTATATATTTATGATATAAATCATTTCAGGTGAAAATGTATTCTATAAGTATGTTATTACATTCAAAACTCTTGATGATACTGGCAATCTTTCAGGTCTTCATGATAGAAACATATTAAAAATCATTAATTTCAATTCAACAAAAATCTTTAATCAATTTAGAATTTCCAAACGTTAACGTAAGGCACACATCTTCATGAAAGAAAACTCATTAAGTAATAAGGCGTGATTACAACTCCCCCTTAAGTAGCTTCTTGTCAAACAGCCATTCGCCTAAAGCACCGTGTTTTTCCGTCATCTTTTCAAGGGTGGATATTTTTCCGGCGATATCACGTTGACCTTGATATTGTTCTCCTAAGAAGTCTCCACTGAGGTAATCGACAAGCTGCAAAAAAACGAAATGAATTGAAACTCCGCCCTCAATAAGTCATTGAAATTATAAACTACGAAATATAAAATTCACCAGTCCTCGCTACTCACGTGATAGTCATTGAAAGATTTCGCTTCTTCACATACTTTGATAACATCACGGATTTTTCTTGTTACAGAAGCTTCTAATTTAAGAGCGTCTTTCAAAGCACTCACTCCGTTAGTCCATGTCGTTTGAGATGGCATAAGCTGTAACGAAACAATTAATAATGATGAATTTAAAAAAATATACGCGAGCCTGTTAAAGGAAGCAATGTAAGTTGATATAGCTGGTATGCATCATATACAGAAACCGATTTTTTCCAGACACCAAGTATATACTCACATTTCTCTTGATGAGACTGCTGACTTTAGAAGTAAGTTCTCCTCTCATGAGAAGGTAGGAAATGAGTTTGATCGCATGTTCTCTTTCTTCGCTGGCAGATTTGAAGAAAATTTCAGCGAAGCCGGGCCTATTGACGGTGTCTTTAGAGAAATGAGCACCCATTGCCATGTATTGCATGGCAGCTTTGAGCTCGTCTTCGACCTGAGCTCTCATTTTTTTGACGCATGCTTTTTCCATGTCTATCCAATCTTTAGGAATGTCCAGTTCTTTGTAAGAACCTACAGTAACAATGTCAATGTTTGAATACATTGACCATCAAGTTTGATATTTATTAGATAATCCGTAAAAAAATTCAATATGAAAATTTTCATCACTTCTACTTATTATAGACGAGGTCTGTTGAAAAAATTAGGTGAATTTTATTTTTTCTGAAAAAATATTTATTTTTTCATCAATTTTTATTTTGGCCCTTTCAAAGTATTCCCCCTCAGAAATAATACACTTGTGCCACTTTTTGGTATGTCCTTGAGCTCTCTTACCGAATCGGTTTCTTTATCTCCTCAATCATCGCAACACGCTGTCCTTTCATGGGTCTCTTCAATCTTGGGAACAGGAAAAAGTCTCAGAAGGACAAATCTGATGAATACGGTGGCTAACGAATGATTATTGTGTTGTAATGACGAGTGAGCAGGTGTGTTATCAGACGTTTTCTTCGTATTTCTTTTTGCAAGCCGCGACAACTTCAAGATAATACTCGTTATTGATCATACGATCATGTGGCAAGAACTTCTGATGCACTACGCCACAGTAATCGAAGAAAACTGTTATAGCGTTGTAGCTCAAATTTCCTTTGACGTCATTCCATTGCTGGAGTTGACATCGTTTCGACGTTGCCTGTTTTCTTTGATTCGCTTCGCCAAATCAAGCATGATTCTTTTCAAGAAGGTTTCAGTTCGATATCTTTCTTGTGAAGGGAGATGTGCCAAGGTGGTTGTGAAGGGAAACAGTTTTTGGATTTGAATTCTTCTCCCTGTTTTCGTTAATGATTGCCTTTCCTACATTGAGTGGAAATATTCTGGCTATCTTATAAATTAGCCCTGGACATTCCAGTTTTTTTACTTAATTAAACCACGGGGCGCCTGGTTTTTGGTAGATAAACCGTTCACTACCCTCTTTAGAGGTAAGTCTTTAAAAAAGCTCCAGAAATTTGATAATCCTCTGAATAGCTGTTTTGTGTTAGGTTTGCTTTTAATAAAATTTATTCTTAGGGTTGTAGGATGACATTAGACAAATAGGTGGTTTATTTTGGAAAAAGGAAAACTATTCACCCCAAATCAGAAGTCGGGTCGGTTCAAGTTTACACGTGCAACGCCGGAGTCCTGATAGAAACTAAAGATTTAGTGGTTTTTTACAGAAAATCATTTTTGAATTTCATATCAAAAAGACAGTGAAAGTACAGTGATTAACCCTGTGTTAGTGAAAATTGAATTGAATGATATCGCATAGGCTAGAAATACTGATCTTTTGATTTTCTTTAATGTAGAAGAGATGTATTTGGCGGAGAGAACCAATAAGGCCAGAAATTATAATATATTTTCAACATATATTTAACATATTTTGAACCAAAATACATTACTTCCATTTCTTCTTTAAAAAACCTGTTCAATATAATTATCTGAAAAAAATCATGATAATGATGCAATAATGTTGTGACCTGATGCGTAGCACCATGAGTAAGCATTTTTCATCTATGACGTGATCTAATCTTGCAAAATTAAGTTCTCAGTCTTCCCCAAAATATCTTCGACTTACATATTACATGAGCGTTTGTTTGGTATAAGTTGAATATACAGGTATTAATTTTGATTGTTTATTGTTTATGCTATTACTTAACTACCAAACTCCACAGAATACGTTCCCATCAATTTGTCCCATTTAATTTCCCAGCTTTATAAATAGTTGATACTTGTATTTCCACAAAGGTGGGTGGCGCCCACTTCAGTGTTGATTTGAATTTGATAAAAACAATTTTTTACGAACCCATAGTGCTCTCCGGCCAAAAGCTGCCTTTCGCAAATTCATGTGTAACAAATTATTGAATTGTCAATAATTTGCTGCTACACAGTGAGCAGAACAGTGAGAGAACTTTGCGTGCTTTTTTGGTCTTGGCTCTTCTGGGCTCTTCTATTGGGACGATTGGACTTTCGTTTCGATGTCATAACCGTAAACCCATCATTCATTACCAGTTATGATCCTTTTAAGCAAATCTAGATCACCGTTGACGTCATTTAACAAGTCGTGAGCGATACCTCATGCGACGGTTTTCTTTGTGATTTGGTAAATTTACCAATTTTGGAACGAACTTCACTGCCACACGCCACGCTGCCGAACAAATTGCATGGCATGAGCCAACCGATATTCCGACATCCTCAGTAACTTTTCTAATAGTGAATCGACGATTCTTCATAACAATTGTCATTATTCACATCTTTTTGACCTTCTGTGTAAACATTTTTACGCATGCCACCGTATATGCCACTGTCAACATTTCAAGTGTTTTTGAGCACTCAACTCCATTTTCACACAAAATATTATGCCAATTTTTTTGATCCCCATCGCTAATCGAATGTACGTATCCCGCGAAATTTAAATATTTACCTTATTTTTTTAACAGACCTCGTATACATATAAAAAAATTCATGGTTGTGCTAACGTCAAACAAAAAAATTTTGTTAATACGAAATAATATTGAAATGAATACGAAAGTTCAATTATTGTGACGCACATATCAAGCCTACAAATTTCAAGTGGTTATTGTTGGCCGATAATAAATCTGGTGCCGTGTGTAAAGATCCGAAAATGATATCATTTTATTCGTTTGATAAAATTAGTATTTATAGATTATCAGAATGAACTTAAGGTTGAGTGGATGCATACTATTTAACGGTAAATATTCGTTTTGAGGGCACCTGGCGATTTTGAAAAAAATTTTGAATGTACTTACGTATCTTGATGCGTAGATTACGAATCCGGAAGAAAAAAAGCGGCGCTGTTCTTTATCTACAAAGTTGCGGCCCTTTAAAGTTCAGAAAAGGGCAACTTTTCAGCCTCCTTTTTCACAAGATAAACTATTTAAAAACACAAGCATTTATTCTTTAGGTCACCTTTACACCTTATTCTTCCTCAATTGACACTTTTCAATTCAACAGTCAACATTTTTCTTATAAAAAACTTAATTTAAAAACGAATGCTTCTTTTGGTGATATTCTTCTATTTCTAGGTTAGTTACTGGTGAAATTTCAGAAAAAAGCGGTTGGTATTTGCCGCCGCCTACTATTTCAAATTCGTAGATTTGGATTTTTAGTTTGACGTGAGTGATTAATACACCACCAAAAACCAATTTACGAATGAAGGCAAAAAACATTTCTCTCTCTCTCTCTCTCTCTCTATTTTAGATGGTCGTTGCTTCCTATCGTCAGGCGAGTTAAGTAACTTTGAAGTCGAAAACCGTTTTTAAAAACAATTTATTTTATTCAAAATTACAATATAAAATTTCTAGAGAACTTCTCACATCGAGATCTGCAAAATGAATGAATAAAAAGTTACGATGATAATCGTTTCTGGATCCAGGGTGGGAATCTGCAAGCACTGCATTTCCTTGGATAGTCTGCAAAATCTCTTCACATAACTCCTCCCTCCTCAGGAGAAAACAATACGGATAAAGGGTTGTTTTCTTTAGGGTCCTTCTGTCGGTTGGTATTGCGATGGCCATTTTTCTTTTTCATCCAAAACCAAAGTATAGCGAATCCGGTAAGGAGTAGAACGCATATAGTTACACCGAGTATATTCCAAATTGCTGGGTGTATTAATTGGTTAAGGTATGGCGTTTGGAGTAGCTTGGCTTCTGTTTGAAGTTCTCGTATGGATTGGAAATTGATTGACTTCAGTATCAATGGCTTATTTTCGTGTTGGTCACCATTAGATTTGGAAACCATATTCCATCTCAGTTGGGAAGAATAAGTGGGTTTCCCAAAATAGTTTCTTCTTCGTTTTTATAGGTGAAGTTTTTCACAACAACACTGCAGCCTTCTGGAATTTTCAGAAGAGTATTTGTTTCGATTCTGTGTACACTTCTTTTCTCGCAATCCGCTTGGGCTATAACGGATTCACTGGATGGCAGGATTAGGAGAAATCGGTCATTGATTTCTTCTAAAACCACAGTAGTATTAAAGTTATTTATTAAATTTTCAATTTCTGAATCAAGATTCATCAAAATTTTACGTTATTATGCAATGTAATATCCTATTCAGGATTGGATTTGAGAATCAAGAAAAAATACTTATATATGTTTGCCTAAATCTAATGTTTTCCTATTCAGGGAAATGGGTAAAAAGGAACTCGGTACTTACTTGTACTTCAGAGCTGCTTTTTTGATGTTGTTCTTCCGCTTCCTCGTGTGAACTCCAGAGGTAGGTAGTAAACGCCAAAGAGTTGAAACTCACGTTCAATTTTCGGAATCGGACCCGATGCCGTGAACTTCGCGAAAACGAACTGCGAAATAATCCTACTGACTGCGCCAGTTAAGTAACTTTGAAGTCGAAAACCGTTTTTAAAAACAATTTATTTTACTCAAAATTACAATACAAAATTTCTAGAGAACTTCTCACATCGAGATCTGCAAAATGAATGAATAAAAAGTTACGATGATAATCGTTTCTGGATCCAGGGTGGGAATCTGCAAGCACTGCATTTCTTTGGATAGTCTGCAAAATCTCTTCACATAACTGGCGCAAACAATTTGGTTTTTATGAAGTCGCCTCTTGCTTGCGAGGCCTTTTAGTTTTTTTTTCACAAATACAGCCCCCTTTACGTGGTTATCCGAACCATCCCGGCCTGGATACCGGCGTGAATGAAGGGGACCCTTTATTTATCACTTTTTTTTAATGACACTCACACATTTCCGTAATTAACATGGCATCCGCATACCTTATTTGTGGTCGGACGTTATCAGCACGTCCGTCCACTACCATGGCCACCACGGAACTCAGTAAAAAAAAATATTGACAGCATCAGTCGTACCAACTATGCCGTTAACCTTAAAAACGTAAAATACAGAGATATACTTATAACCAAAAGGCAGCTCCGTACATTTTTTTAACATTTTTATTGGAAACAAATTGATTGTTGATGTGAAAAGTGTCAAGGAAGGAGGAATAGGGTGTAAGGGTGACCTAGTGAATAACTGCTTGTGGTTTCAAATAGTTTATCTTGTGAAAAAAAGGCTGAAAAGTTGCCCTTTTCTGAACTTTGAAGGGCCGTAACTTTGTAAAAAAGGGAGAGAGCTTTTTTCTTTCAGATTTGTAATCTACGTATCAAAATACGTATTTACACTAAACATTTTTTTTAAATCGCCGGGTACCCTCAAAACGAATATTTACCCATGAATCTTATATCTATTGATATATAGAGTGAACTTTCATTAATTTTACAATTGAACATCTCCAAGAAAATCAGGTATTTGTTAATACGAGTATGAGTGAAAAACATTTAACTTACATTCTAGGGCCGATGAAGCCAATCCAATGACACAGATGAAGACAGTTGTCAAAATAATGCTTTTCATGGTTCAGCTGATTTGGTTCCTGGACAAAAAATTATAACAATCGATTAACAGAGTTTAGTATTGTAATTTGTTAAGTAGTCTGCCTTTACACTCACTGGCGCAGAAGGTGGACTAAACAAAAACTGAACTAACTCATCCGAGTTAATGTAGATATGTAAGTATTTTGCGCACAACACCACTCCATATTCATTTTGCCGCTCGTTGAATTCGAGTAAAGTCCTCTCAAGGCTGCATGCACTCCGCGCATTGCGGCTAGACCATGTTTGTGTTTGTTAGGTTACAGATTTCAGAAGCGGACTAGCCCAAAGAAGAATCATAAATAAGAGATAAATGGAAGTTAATTACTTATATTTTTGACATGTTGGTGATTTAAATTAACTTTTATCTTCATCATCAACTTTCAACTTGATTGAAAACCAGCTCCAGTTTTAAACAATGAGATGAGATTTTGTAATTCATTTGACCAAATTGAAAAAAACCGATCGAAACTGAAACATCAAAAATATATAGAAAAGGGACTTTCAAAATGGCTCGATTGCTGTTTCTTTTGTGAATAGCATTTATATATGTTGTTTAGTTTTTAGACATTAGTCGATATGTATTTTCCGCTTTTACTATTTGGCTCTGGAGTTATGGTAAAATTGGAACCTTTGTCGTCAAATGAATCTATTAAAACATTTTTCCTTAAACAATGAAAAAGTGTTTTCATTAAATTCTGGGAATCTAGTTGAATACATTTTTTCAATATTTCTCACACATATCGAACTTCACCCTGCCCTAAGCATACTTGAAAATTGCTAGTTTCTATCAGTGCCGTCTTAAGCTTATTATACGCCGGTGTGCGGGTATTACAAAAAAAAACGCTATATAATTTCAATCTTCTATTTAATTATTTCTTGAAACTCTGTAATTTACAAATGAAAAAATTGACAAATAAAAATCAACATGAATTGTTATTAAAAAAAAATATATTATTATTTAATAGGCATACTTAATGCTATACCAACTCAAGCAATATACCTAATTTCAATCTTTCATTGATTGATTTCTGAAAAGTCTGAATTTACAAAAATCACAGACAAAATGATGTTTGTTTTTTGAAACAAAAATTGTTGATACACACTTGCTCAATTGAAACCAAACCATGAAAATTTTAATGTTAACACGGCGGCTGTCGTAGCGGCAATTAACTAGGAGAACTAGGATTATTTGCAGATAAAAATTTGATTTCATATTTCAGTTGTTTACATTATAACATAATCAAACTTTGAGACCTAAACAATAAGATTAAATTTCTATAGATCGTCAATTAATATCAATCAGTGATCGACACCCACTACAAAGGCACCGTGCTGGTAATAAAGTCAAACGAATATTCGTTTAAAACCTTAGTAACGGCTACGGTTATGTAAAAGAAAGCTCTTCTAACTTCAAATTCAGGCAGGTGCGAGTTGAATAAATTTGAATTGTAAGATAAGTCATAATAAGAGCTATTTTAGCTTCCACATAGTGAGCGGTGTGACACTTGCCAAAGGCGGCAAGTAGGTATCATGAGGTGATGAGCCGTACATATGATTTGTCCGTCATTCAAGACTGGTACACATTTTCATTATGTACATGCAATGCCGGTGGCATTGAATGGAATTAGAGGTACCTAAACAAAATTCCCAATTTCTAGTTCTCGGCACCGCGCCTCGTAGGACACCACGTCCGGGTGCAGCAGCGCCCCTTGAACCCCCGGGTAGGGGGTTACTAGGGGGCTACTATGAGTTTTATCTAACTTTTTTGTTAACTAAACCGGTCAGCCTTGTGAAGGGTCGTACTGTAAGTTAAACTATTAAGCTAAAAACTTTTTCTCAATATCTCTTAGATGGCACTTAATCACTTAATTTTAAACGAGCTATCAACTTTTTCGTTTATAAGACATTATTATACAAAAAAGAAAAATTATCTGTTTTTCAAACATAAACCATTACAATTCATAATTCTTATATACACTATGTCTCCGCCGCGGTTGAGTGCTCGAAGATAGAAGTTTTTCCACACGGCCGATGTGTACAGAAATTAGATTCCCTTTACCATCTATCACCGCCCATTTCCAAGCTGTCCTTAACCTGCTGCTCTGTCTGGTCACTGGTTTTTCTTCGTCGACCCCTTGTGCTTAGTCCTCTCGTGGAATATGGAGTAGGTCGTATTCAGTGCATCGGGGAGATTCTGCAGCACTAGGTTACGGTTTGTCCGAATTCGTTGAGAGATATTTTTGGCGTGGTTTTTCAGGACATTTACGTACTGAGTGCCGAGATCCATGTTCCGGAAGATATATCGGTATGTATCTATGAGAATTTACTACCATAAAACTTTGGATCGGGGGTCAATATGTCAATATGCACTGGACCTAAGTAGTGAAGTTATACATGATGAAGGAAAGTGGGATTGTCTAGAAGCGGTTTCATCTGTCGCTTCTGCCTCCAATTATAGGATTGAGGATGGTCTAGTGCCACACTCACTCAAGGAATCTCCTGTCCATCTTCTGACCTTCCTCTGGATGAGTAGTATCGCTTGATTCGAGGTTGATGCTAATCTTTCAGAAATGACACAGAAAGACCACTGGATGCTGTGAAATTGTATTGTAAGTATTGATACCATTAAATATAAAATGTATGAAAAGAGAAGTATTATTTAATCATTTTGGACTTTTTTTTAGACAGGAAAAATTTTGGAATACGATTTGACTGAAAATATTGAATAATATTTTCAAGACAACATTCATTTGAAAGCAATAACTTATCAGAACAAAAAACTACGTCAAGATGTATTGGAAGTATTTATTTTTAATATATTTCAGACTATGTAAATTCACGTTCACAGTTGTACAAAAAATGTTCGTGTATAAAATTCGTGTTTTCATGGCAAATTCGAGAAAACTTTTGGTTCACTCCTCTAATCTCTCCACCTGTTGTTGCAGGTGTTCTGTGACTAGCACAAGGCTGGTGAATCTGGTCAGCAAAACTGTGCCCTCCGCGTAGTGAACCAACTTGTTGAAGTTCTCTAGCTGGGGCAGGTTTAGTGTGTGAACCGAGAAGGGGTATGGAGACAGAACTGCGCCTCGAGGGATTTCTGCTTCAAGAAGTCGTCCGGTGGAGAGTTCTTGACCTACTCTGCCTTGGCATTTAGGCAAACAATTTTATTGAACAAAAAACTTTAAGTCAGGCAGAAATTATAAGTTATTACTTTGATTTGCGAGGAGTGTATTTTTAAGAGAGATCAATTTTTGGGAAAGATGGGTTTTTGTTTCTACTTCTCCATCTTCATACAAAAAATGTGGGAATCATCCAGAGAAAGAAAGAAAGTAAATACTCTCGAAACAATTACTTTCGTATGAAACTGAATTACACGAAAGAAAAAAATACTTTCGAAATAACTACTTTTATTTAAACATTGAATTTTACAAAAAACACTTTTTCATATTTAGTTTGTACTGCAAACATTCGTTATGGAATTAAATCAGATATCATTCACAGGATTCCTACACAATATACTAAGTAAAAGAAGAGATTAATTTTTGGGAAAGAAGGGTTCTGACTTTCGACTTCGCCATTTTTATACAGAAGAATGTGGAAATCTTCCAAGAAAGGAAGAAAGAAAATAATTTCAGAATAAACTAATTACAAAGATTTGTAGATCATGTAAAGGGGTAACTTTCAGACACAATCTTTCAATTAAAAACAGGATTCCTGTGGCTGAATCAAATAAGCGAATGAATGTACTGTCATCGATGACATGAGTAGATTTAACTCATTCGTGACAAAGTCGTAATTTTATAAATGAATTGAGTGCTTTACCTTGTAATGTTATCCAGATTGGACAATACAATTTCGAGGAGTATTGCAGATGATATTATAAGGAAGAGAATGTTTAGGGTAAGAATGAACGAAATCTCGACAATTAAAAACGACGAAAACCAAGATGAATATATTTCAGTTCCATACCACCAATTACGAATAACTTTGGGGAGATGTTTAAGGAACTAGGTATGAAGGTGGCTTTTAAAACAAGTCCATAACTACAGAGCTTTTTGGCAAACCAAAAAAACAAAGTCGGAAATTCGGAAAAGTATGGAATTTACGAAATTAAATGTAAGGACTGCGATGCAAAATATTATGGACAGACAGAAAGATCTATTAAAATAAGATAAAAGGTACACTTAGCACACCTAAAATATGGAAGACCAAAGAAAATCAACAGTCGCCCATCATATTTTGCAACAAAACCATGCCATAAACTTTACTTCATCAAGATTAGTTAGACAAGTTAACAACAACAGGCATCTTGATGCCTATGAGAGTGTGGAAATAGGTAAAAATAATGATATGCATAATATGGTGGACCAATACCTAATAGCTTGTTAAAATAATTATCAGATTTACCTAACTATTACATAAGGACACATAGTAAAATTAATTTAAGACTAGTAGATAAGGCAATTTTGTGAAATTAATTTAAGGCACTTAAGTCGCAGGTACCTAGAAGAGGTATTCTATGGTATAAATAAGGATAACATTGTAAGTGTTTTTAGTTTAATCTTCCTCTTGAAGATGATCACTTGGTTATCGAAACACGTGTCGAGGTGTTAAAATAACGGAATAAAACTCCAGTTATATTAAATTGATGGATGTAGCCGTTACTACGTGGTAGGATATCATAATGAAAAGAGAAATGAAAATTTCTATGTTTTTTACCACTTTTAATTGTAACTAACGTTACTGCAGTTTCGTCCTTTATGGACATTATAAAACTTATACATATAATATACTTTATTATATTGTATTTATTGTATGTGTAATGTACACATCTTCTTAAATCCTGTTCTTTATTGTATATTTTCAATTTTTCACATATTGAAATAGATAAGGGTAAGTGCAATTTGTTACCATTCATTTAAAGTAGAACTCATGTGAATGATATCTGATTTTTATTCCACAACGAATATTTGAAATACAAACTAAGTAGAGAAAAGTATCTTCTGTATAATTCAATGTTCATATAGAAGTATTTGTTTCGAAAGAATTTTTTTTCTTTCGTGTAATTCAATGTTTATATGAAAGTAGCTGTTTCAAGAGGACTTTCTTTCATTTTGTGTCTGAAAGTTACTTCTTTGCATGATCTACACATCCATGTATAGAGTTGCTTATTTTCAAATTAATTACTTCCTTCCTTTCTTTGGAAGATTCCCTCATCCTTTTTTTGTATCAAGATGGAGTATTAGAAACCAAAAACTTTCTTTCCAAAAAAAGATAAGGGTAGTTTACCAAACTATATTTTTCACCTCTACCAAGTAATTATTTCGAGAATACATTCATTAATCTCAAGAATGTTGTGATATTGGTAGGTAACATCATAATATATTCAAACTCTGCACATTACGTGTCGTAAATTTTTTTAGTGAATATCGAGTTCGATTTCCTAAAAAAGTGAAATATTTTAAAGTACAAAAAAATATTTACTTTCGTTCTTCGACCCAGTCCAGGAGATAATTTATAGGTACATCATATTGTACAAACAATTTATCATGAATCATGAGAGATTGCAAACTCCGTATCTGTAATTTTGTTGCGCACGACACTGATGCGCACGGTTTTTAAATCCACAATCTTATTGTTGTTTTGTGGTAATGCTATATAAAATTTTCTTGCTTTATCCGAATATGCATCATTCGTGATTACGCTGGCGAGATACCAGGTAGGTGTCAATATCAGTGTGAGCAGTTTTTGAAATAATTGAATATTTTGATATTTTTTAGGGATCATGAAGGCTTTCATTATTATTGCTATCTTTTGCGCTGTCGCATCTGCGGCCCAAGACTATTGTTATAAGGACGTAGTTGAAGCTTGCAGGACGACCAACAAAAAATGTGAGTACATTTCTTTGGCTGAGTGCTTTAAGTAAATAAAATTCTGGTTTATCAAATTATCTGATCTCTAATAATCGCTCATCTAAATTTTGAATCAGTTTGTCAGCAATAGTATTGAAAAATATTTGGTTACGATGGTTTGTTGAAAGCATCTTGCTAGAAATTGTATCATTTCAGTAAGCAACACAAATGAATGAAAAAAAAATCAATGTTTATATTGAAAAATTTATGGATGACGCAATGATCAGTCCAAGTAGGAAGATTGATTATTTTAATTGTCCCTCCAATTGAACAGAAGAAGATATTCCAATTGAAGGAGTTATATTTTTAGGAGTGATTAAGTTTTTGGGAAACAAAGTTTTTGGCTTTCTACTACTCCATCTGATACAAAAAAAAGGGATGAGAAAATCTTCCAAAGAAAGGAAGGAAGTAATCAATTTGAAATTGAAAGTTACTTCTTTGCATGATCTACAAATTCATGTATAGAGTTTCAAATTGATTACTTCCTTCCTTTCTTTGGAAGATTCTCTCATCCCTTTTTTTGTATCAGATGGAGTAGTAGAAAGCCAAAAACTTTCTTTCCCAAAAAGATATTCAACTTACTGATTGACACAGTTTGAAAAATATTTGTCTCTTGAAAATATTCAATTTTCAGATAAAAAGTATTCAATAAATAATCAACGGAGTTGGTCTCAATGGAAAGTAGTAATCGAAACATATATTTTACAAAGTCTACGTGTTTTTTTCTTTTCGATAATAATATGTATGGGAATTACCACTAGGTATGTAGTATGTTGGGTGGTATATTAAAAAGTTGAAGATCATAATATAAGGTTGTTTCAAAAGTTTTGTCCGTTTTCATGAGTCTATTTGAATCTGTAATATATCAGTGAATACCTATTCAATAAGTGACATTTGAATTAGTGCCCTTTGGCCAACGTAACACGAGTCAATTAACTCCGTCAGCATATAAATTGTGTGCTCAGAATTCGATGAAGTCGACGATGACCGTTTTTGCCTTGTCCTGATTGGCGAAGATTCTACCGGTGAGAAAGTTATCGAAGTGCTTGAGAAGATGGTAGTCAGTTGCCAAGAGGTCTGGAGAGTACGGTGGGTAAGGCAGAACTTCGACGCTTGATTCGTTTAATTTTCGGACGGTGATTTGTGAAACGTCCAGACGAGCGCTGTCATGAAGGAGGATCGAATCTCTTCTACTGACCAGTGCCAGTGCCGCTGACCAATATAGTAACCATGGTCTTTTTTGATGGGTTTTCGCCTGTGGGAAGTACCTGGGTGGTTCATCGGTGTTCAACCACTGCTTTGAGCGTCTCCTGTTATCGTAGAGGATCTACTTTTCATCACACGTGACGATCCGATTCAAACAAGGATCGTTTTCCACATATAGTTACTGGACATACTTGAAGACTGGCTATAAATCAAATTATCTAAAGGAACAATTCGTTCAGGCCAGTCTCAACTCCCTACACTGTAGGTTAATGAACTGACACCTATCAGAAAATAACTACTTCTCTGGCTATTACCACGAAGGGCGTTGAATTATATCCGACAGGTGTCAGTGCAGGATTCTTTACTGAAGTAATCCTACATATGCTGTTGGCGATACAATTGCCGCAATAGATTTTCATTTATTGGAACATACTTGCAGACCGGTTTCGGGCTGGTCGGTTGCCTCGTTCATAGGCAGATGGGGCGATGATAAACCTGTTTGTGGTCCGCTTCAGCCTAATTCGAGGAATGATACTCTGAAGGAATTCGATTTTCAATTATCGGAAATCCTAGACTTTGTTGATGATAGACATTACCTTGCACTTACGAGTGGCCATACAGTCCGAAACCGGTCTGCAAGTGTGTTCCAATAATTGAAAATCTTTTGCGGCAGTTGTATCGCCAACAGCATATCTGTTTAAAAAAACTCTGTTTAAAATGTGTTTTTTCGTTAATCAGCAGTTTATTACTTCAGTGAAGAATCCTGAATTGACACTTGTCGGATATAATCCAACGCCCTTCGTAGTATTAGCCAGGAAAGTAGTTGTTTTCTGATAGGTGTCAGTCCATTAACCCACAGTGAAGGGAGTTGAGACTGGCCTGAACGAATTGAAGGATTGTTTTGATTGTGCGAAACCAAAGAAGAACAAAACTCGAAACGTGACAATTTCGATCGTTCAAATCCTGGGGCACCCATTTTTTCAAGCCTTTTGACCTTGGCAATACGTTTTAAACAATCAAAAACCACATGGGACCTGGCGCCCAGTTCTTCCGCCATCCCACACACCGTTTGTGATGGATCAATCTCTACCAGGGTTCTCAAATCCTTGTCTTGGAATACTGTAGATCGACTACTTCGGGGCTCACCTTCGCGGCTAAAATTTCCGGAATGAAATTTCGTAAACGGTATGTTTCTCAACACTATCATTGCCAAATGCCTGCTCAATTTTTCGGTCTGTTTCGGTAGCGCTTTGATTCAATTTGAATTCGTAGAGAAAAATTGGCCAAAAATCACTTAAAGACATCATATGGTAATGACCTGAAAAGAGGCAAAAAATTGATATTTGGAAAATAATGTATACATCATTGTATAGAGTACAAAATTATCTATCGATCAGTATATAACACGATACAGTAGAATAAATGTTCATTGAGATGTAGAGCTACAAAAACATGATACTAAAACGGACACCACTTTTGAAACCAACTAATGAAAGCTGTGACAAGTAACTATCTCAACTTTACAGATTTATCACTATGTAGGTATTGCAAAAATTTCCATGAGCTAAGCAGGAATTTTAACTCTGTTGATATATCGATGTATATTATAAAATCGTTAGGAACATTGAATCGGGTATGGAAGTTTCATTCGGTCCAAAGTGTAAAATATAAATCTATTTTGCACTTTTTTGTATTTTTAAATAAGAGCGTGTGCAAGTAAAACGGTTAAAATTTTATATTGATATAGTTGACAAGTAAGCTGTAATAATATAACTTAGTTTATAACATCAAATTAAAATATTTTTATATACTTTTCCACGTATTCTGTTTGGAAACATATTATGTAAAGGAGACTTACAGTTTTGACCGCATCTATGGTTACTTTTCGTAACCTCTCTTCACTTTTATGTGAGGTAATTCGTGAAGACTTCTCGTAACCTCTCTTCACGAATTACCTCAGATAAAAGTGGTTTAGCAGAGCAGAGCATTTTTACTGAGAATTTTATTTATGATAACCTTTTATATTATATTCAGATCCATTTTATCAGGTGATATGATAGATTATTCAAGATTCGTCACGTTTCATCCGTCATAGATTTTATTTTTGTAAATAAATGCCATTTTATTTTTGGTGAGTTATTTCTATGTGTTCATTAATTTATTATTTGTTTTCATTTTGTGATTTACTAAAGCGTTTCTGAAAGAAGAGCCATTAAAGTCTAGAAACAGAAAAAAGTTCTCATTTTCAAGTCTCCGATTGTATACGCATTAAAGAAATTTGTCTCTTCCCGAGACTAAAATGTATATTTACCATACATAACATATTTACTAGGTATTACAATGTTACTTTTATTCAATTTTCATTAAGAACATTGATAGAAATCTCATATTAATAGGGATTTCGTTTAACCTTAGGCCCCCGAAATTTTGACATTTCAGGATGTTCGTTGGCAGCTGGTTATCGGAAAAAAAATTATCAATAAAAAACAACCAATAACATGAAAAAACTGTCGAATCATTTCAAAAATCAATTGATACACCAAACATCATGGAAGTAAAAATAGACATCATTCATTCAATTGATATTGATAAGGAATTCAACTAACCAAAATCCTCTGACACCAAAAGAAATTGAAACAAATGGTTGTTCAGACCAATTTATACAGGGTGTTTCATAATGCCATGCTAACATTTAAAGAGCTTATTATCGGCCCATTTTGAGAAAAAAAATCTGAAGATGTTGTCGTTGGAATTACATGGTGCTATAGTTCTTAAAAAATATATTTTTTATAACTGTCGTATGTCCCTATATATTTTTGTAAAACTTGGTGTGCATCTTCAATGCATCAGAAATAAATCTATTGCACAACTAATTTTTTTATTCTTGCCAGTGATGTCTGTTCAGGATTTTAACCAAAATTGTTTGAAAAGAATAGTGATATGCCATGCTCTATATACGTATGCTTTTCTCTGTTTCTAATGAAAGCATGTACGTTTTGGAAAATGCTAGCTAGGACTGTTTCTAATATTTCACAAGAAACTACGATTCGATTTCAAAATTGCCCTTCCGTATGAAATTTTCTATCGAAAACAAAGGTGTTGGGACGACCCTACAAGAAATAATCGAAACTATTGGGGTAGCCATTGGGGTCTTTCTTGTCCTATCCAGAGAATACTGTAATTTGGGTTTAATTATTCACTGAAGTGCTTGCTTACACCACAGTCGATTTTATACTCCTGTATGCTCATTTAATCTCTAATGAAAGAAGGAGGATCACTTTGAATAATCACAGCTTAATTTTTCCAACATGTTAACATCGGTAAATAAAATCAGCAATTAGCAAAACTTCATTTGTTATGGATGGATTAAAAACTGCTACCTCAATTTCTTGAATCGTTGAGTAGGTTGTACTGCTTTTAGATGATTGTCTGGTTTAAAACTTTCTCTTTCACAAAATCTTTTATGAAAATGTTCATGCATTTGGAATATTTGTCTTTGGAGAATGCATTTCATGCAGCCGCCTGGTTTTCAGTTCCTTACCTCGGAATCTGTATTAAGGTCTATGTTTTTTTTTTTTGAAAACATTATGAATTTTGATTATTTAAGTAATTGACTATAGTACAATTCCATAATAGTAGGCACTAAATTCTCAGAAATATTATTGCATTGAAACGAAAGATTGTTTTCAAGGTTGTAATTCTATATATTCTATCTAATTTGTCCTCATCTGTTTTAGTATAATTTCCGTACGCCACTGCAAGAGACAGATTAAGGCAAAAAACGTCAATCATTTCTGCCTACTATTTTGGAATTATAGTATAGGTGGAAAACTGTCGGAAATATTCATGTTTTCAACATGTTCATAATAACTTGCAAACGAATGATTTTTTTATGAGAAAACCGTACATCAAACGAAAAAATGAGTTATTGAAGAGTGGAAAATATTATTGGCATGTCTATCCCCGTTTTATTTAACTGGTAGATAACTTTTTTGTATATTATTGTGGAATATTTCAGTTAAAGAATTATATTCTTCAATTTCAGATACATCCACCCTCAACTGTACTGCCAAATATGGCGCCATCGATGTAGTCCAACCGGCACTTCAGAAGTTCACCAACCATCACTTCATTCGCTCCTTTGAATATTTGTTGCTCTCCACCAACTTTGCTAATTACGAGAAAAACCGTCCAGGATTTGAAAAACTCTTCCGCTCTCTTTCCGACGACAAATGGGAGGAGGGCATTGAACTCATCAAGTACCTCACGAAACGAGGAGGTCAAATGAACTTCGCAACCGTCTCCGAAGAATTATTAGAGGAGAACGAGCTGGAGCGTAGTTTCGAGCTGAACGAGTTTGCTGCTGTCGCCAGGGCTCTGGACTTTGAGAAGAGAATTGCTCTTGAGGCTAACTCGATCCACGGTGAGGCCACCCGGATGAATAAGAACTTTCACGATCCCGAGATTTCGGATCACCTGGAACACGAGTTTGTTCACAAGCAGAGAGACGTTATCAGGAAGTTGGCTGGATATGCTACTGATCTGAACGACCTGTTGGACGGTCCGGACAGTTCGTTGTCCTTGTTTTTGTTCGATGAATATCTCCAGAAGTAATGAGCCACAAACTATTTGACACATACCTTAGAGGATGTTTGTGAATAAATTAATAAAGGCTTCCAAATCTTGTACTTACTTTATTGAGCAGAAGTGATACCGAAAATTTCTTTCTGAATGAAAATCTATGAAATTTTGCTGAAGTCTACGTTAAACGGCATGTTGTTTAAGGGTCTTCTGTAATTGTAAAAATGTGATCCAAAACAAAATCTCTTTCTTGGTTTACTAAAAGAGTATGTTAACCAAAAAATTCTGGATAAGATAAACTTCTCAAAAGAGTTGATGTACTTAACAGATGGGCAGGAAGAACAAAGCCAGTGACGTCAGGGAGATAATGACCGCGTCGTCGAGTCATGTAATTTCAATTTCAAGTGGTACTTGAAAATGCCTTCAAAGCCGAAATGTCGAAAAGATGAAAACTACAGACGTGTTCTAACCCGGACGACAGTATGAGATGAGTTCACTTTTGCATTCGTTCAAACCATTTGTCAAAGCAATTTTTCCATTCTTCTATCCCTCTTGAGACACCTCAAAACATAGTTTTTGAACGCTTGAACTGCTTCTTCGGCGCTCGTTAATCGTTGAACATGCAGTTCACCTTTGATATTTGGAAACAAGAACATATATACATACATACATATAAATCAATAGGGGAAAATTCGTGGACAGAACACTCAAAAAATAGGGGCAAACCGCGAACACGTGTTTCTGGCTATTGGCCTCATCAGCGCGGTGCAGCCAATTGCAAAGATGGACAACAACTGGTTACCAAAAATGAAAAACATCACATATGCACGGTGTCACCAACAGGAGCTAACCGCACATTTGTGGTTTCAATTAGAAGACCTAGAATTCCCAGGCATCATCTAACATCACCACGTAGGCAGCTATAGCTACCTGCGTGACTTCCGGGTCCAGGATATA